CTTTAACCCCTTCATGACTGAGCTTGTTTTTAGTTTCTGTTCGTAAATGACTGACACACTTTTGACATTTTTGCTGTGTGATTCTTCCACGTCAGTAATATACTTTCTTACAAAGTGCACCCACACATATTATATATTGTTTTTTAGAGGACAGATAGGGCTACATATTTATATCACATATGTGTGTCTAACGCCTCACTTAGGACAAATAAAATATAAAAAAAGAGGAAAAAACGTTAAAAAAAACACTTTTTTCCCAGTTTTGATTTGTAGTATTTTTTACAAAACCAGCACAGCTAAAAAAAAATGCAATAAATACATTCATTTATTTGTCCTTTATTTTTTTACACTTTTTTTTGTTTACACTTTTCACTATTTTTATTTTTTTTACACTTTTCACTATTTTTTTAAAAACTTTTAAAATGTGTATTTTATTTATTTAATTATATCAAGCAGTCATTGTGAATTAATCTCACTATTACTGCTTGATAAATTAATAAATTTTTGGTTATTATCAGCCAGTTTCAAACTTCAGAACAGCCGATAATAAGTTAGTGACACTGATCCTGCAGCAGTTCAGGATTCAGCTGTCACTAAAGGTTTTCTGATCGTTCCAACAACGATTAGAAAACTGAAACATTCTTCTTTCAGGAATAGATACAGTATAGCCAGTATACGATCGAGAGAGATCTCTAGATCTATACGAGCTGTCAGAATGCCGGCTTATGCCCATGCCCGCTCTGCTTTGACTCTCAGACACCCGATATTAAGGTATCAGGTGTCTGAAAAAGGTTAACCCTTTCATTAATGAATGCCTCTATACTGAGGCATCCATTAATGAATGGTAACCGCTGATTCTCAGCGGTTACCAGCCCTCTAATGCAGCAAATAACTCGTCACGTACAGTGTAAAAAAGTGACATTGGGACATCCCTAGTAGTGGTGTATATAGACATGACATAACTTCCACTGTCTTTCAGTCATCTTAAAGTACGAGTCTGCCCACTTTAGGTTATTTGGTACCCAGCAGCACTTCCAATCTCACAAACTGATACAATAACTATAAATGATACAATAACTATACACACCAGCAGTGGCGTAACAATTGCCATAGCGACCCAGGCGGCCGCTATGGGGCCCGGGCACAGGGGGGCCCGGCCAGGGCCGCTATGGCATGTGGGGGTGCTGGCTGTCACAGACACAGCTCATCAGCGGCCACAGCGCATTTCCCCTCATAGCCGCTGCGGAGCTGTGTCAGTGACAGCCAGCCGCTGCGGCAGATGAGGGCGGTGTTCGGAATGGAGGAGGCGGGGCCTGCCTCCTCTTACATCACTGGCCAGCGACCTAAGAGCAGGTGGGACTAGTGATGCAAGAGAAGGCGGGGCCCGTCGATAACAGAGGAGGCGGGGCCCGGGGAAGGAACAGGAGTCGGGGCGAAGCAGGAGTCGGGGCCCTGCGACCACAGAGGCGCTGACAGGTAAGAGATCTCAGACCCTGCAGAGCCCACTATAGGGAGTCTATGGTGGGCTCTGCAGGGTCACTCTCCGCCGGGGCTCTGCAAGTGGCATGACTAGCAATCACGGGGTCCCATACAAAATTTTGCTATGGGGCCCTGTGATTTCTAGTTACGCCCCTGCACACCAGTATTTGTTTCTGAGCCATTGTCAGCTAGAATTGGTGTCATCTAGAATGCTCTGTCATAGGTTTAAATAGCTACAATTGAAATGGAAGCCAATTCTGATGTTATTTAATGAAATGGCACTTGAGCACTTAGGTCTAAAACAAAGTTTATTAAAGCTGGCGGACTTACAGATGCTTTTGGTTTGCAGCTGATCAGAGGCAAGTTGATCCCATAGTTCTGGTTGAGGAGGTCACGATGGGTTGGCTTCTCAGTATTACAGATGATGCGCGTACTGAAGGCTAGCTTGTGCTGTAACAGAGATGGATCCATGATTACTACAGCATGCTCTCTAGAAATCGCATATTACTTTGATGCACCCTGTGGGCTCAGATACATATATACACAACACACAGCATGCACAAAACACAGCCACATGTTACCTCCAGGCTGAATGACAGAGCCTCCAGCTAGACATGTCTGTGCCAGGTTAAAAAAACTAAGACATGGAATTTTTTCTACTCTGATCTACTGACAAGGGATACAAATGCATATACACGTGATCACGGAGACTTTGCTAAACCATAATTGACTTTCCAGCTGCTCATGTACATTGATATGTGGAGTGTGAAGTATTTTTATACAAATTCATCTCATACAGTTTGAAGCCTCTAAGAAATATATAAAGTATATCAGGTTTCTGCTCTCATTGTTCTAGTAAAGATTAAAAAACCCAACTGGCTGACATGGGGATTTGGCTGACATTAAGGGGGTTATTCACAAAGCTGCCGAAGTCAGCCGAGTGACTAACCCAGCCGAAGTGTAGTGAGCCAAACAACGTTCTGGCTTAGTACGGATTTCATCAGACGTACATCGGCTGCACTTCGGTCAGCCGAACATGCTCTGCATGTTCGGCTGAGCCTAAGTGCAGAAAGACTTCGACTCAGCTAATCCAACATCTGGATCGGCTGAGCTGGAGCTCCGGCAGCACACTCGCTGCCGTTCTCCCCTATTCACATAGGGGCCCCCGAATGGCAGTGAGTAAATGGCCGAATGTCGCCGAGCGACATTCGGCTCGGCTATTCTGCTTGGTACCTCCGTAGTACCAAGCTGAATAGAAAATTTTGAAAAAAGTAGAAGAAAAAAAAGGTTAAAAAATGTTTTTAAAATTTAATACTAAAAATATTTTTTTTAAAAAGAAAAAAAACAACAACAAATGGGCGGGGCTAGCATTGATAGCTAGCTCCGCCCAACTGTTTCCTATTGGCCCCACCTGCTAGAGTCTTCTAGCAGGTCCCGGCCAATGAATTACAACTGGGCGGAGTCGGCCATGACATCATGGCCGGCTCCGCCAGTTGTTATTGTTTAATGACAGTTCAGCGTCCCCAGGTCATTTGGGGGTGCTGATCTGTCATTACAACTGGCCGGAGCCAGCCGTGAGACCACCGCTGGCTCCGCTCGGCTGTCATTTGCTGGGCGAAAGGCCTTCGGCAGGCCGTTCTCCCTGCTTCGGCTGTCACTTCGGCTTAGTCGAGCGGAAGCATATGCCGTCGGCTCGGCTGAGCTGCTTAGCCGCCTACGGCTGCTGTACGGGCTATAGTGAATAGCCCATGCAGCAGCCCTTCGGTGCGAAGCAGAAGCTACGGCTGGATCCTTCAGCTCCTCTGTGAATAACCCCCTAAATCTTTCGATTCATTAGGAGAATATAGAGTGTATGCCCTACCAAAAATGTTTTTAAGAAGGGAAAGGGTTAAAACCCCTGTCAGGTCTCTGTTTAAGAGATTTACCCTAATTTCCTGTCCTGCTGTCAATGTTTCATCGGACAGGAAAGGAGGGAAAGTCTCCAACAACAAAACATTCAGAAAAAAATAAACAATACAGTATATCTAAAGCCAAAATTCTTGTCAGTTTTTTGTCTCCCATTGGGGAGATTATCCTGATGCGGGTTCTAACCCTTCATGACTCTATCCAAAACTCAATACCACAATTGAAAACACAGCTAGTTCTCCAATGGTAGATACCACAATTGGATACAAATGTACCTGTAGACACAGCTAGTTATCCAATGGTATATACCACAATTGGATATGAATGTATTCTGTAGACACAGCTAGTTCCCCAATGGTATATACCACAATTGGATACAAATGTATTCTGTAGACACAGCTAGTTCCCCAATGGTATATACCACAATTGGATACAAATATATTCTGTAGACACAGCTAGTTCCCCAATGGTATATACCACAATTGGATACGAATGTGTTCTGTAGACACAGCTAATTCCCCAATGGTATATACCACAATTGGATACGAATGTATTCTGTAGACACAGCTAGTTCCCCAATGGTATATACCACAGTTGGATACGAATGTGTTCTGTAGACACAGCTAATTCCCCAATGGTATATACCACAATTGGATACAAATGTATTCTGTAGACACAGCTAGTTCCCCAATGGTATATATATCACAATTTCCAATGGATCTGGATTTCCAATGTGTGTGCAAAGGATACAATAAAAGGGTACAACATGAATATTACATACTATTTTCAGAGTGATGCATCTCACTGCCATGATTTACAATATTAAATTTGTCATGTGGAGTCACACTGTATAAAGGTAAATGAATCACATTGTTAACTATTGGTAAATGTAAGCAAAATGGGCAGCCTCAGGTAGCAATTGATATAAAAGCACACTGCAAAGCTGAAACCTCCAAATTTCAATCTGTTACAGAAATAAACAGGAAAAGCATTGGTCAAAGTGATTAGCAACGACATTTATGTGCGGTGCAGCTGGTAACTGCGGCTTTAACTTATTCAATCACGCCGTTTCATAAGCAGGACTCAGGTTTTATTGAGCCAACCGAGGTTTACCTTGTTTGAAGGATAGAAGGTGGCAAATTATAGGTGGCAATTTCCCAGCTGGAACGCACAACTAGTTAATAATAACACTGCTCCTGCCAGCGTGCCATGCCTGTGGAACAGCTGGTAAAGCAGCACTTTCCTTCAGATAAGAAATGAGGTGCGCAAGTTCTATCACAGGATATGTATTTTTAAGCAGGTACTGGAGGTTTGCAGCTGCAGAAGCAGCACTGTGCCCGGGGTGGGTGAATGTGGTAAAGACAGGTCAACTTAAAGATGCCCCAATAATTGACACAGAACAAAATACAGCCCCCTGGAATATGCAAAGCTATGAGAAATAATTAGTAGTTATTCTAACATTTCCTGGCATATTATTACAGGTACTTTATATAGCGCCGACAATTTACCCAGCGCTTTACATACTGCACATTTACATCAGTCCCTGCCTTCAAGGAGCTTACAATCTAAGGACCTATCTCACATGTATACACACAGGGCTGATTTGGAGAGGAGCCAATAAATCTTCCAGCATGTCTTTGGAGTAAATGTGAGTTATAATGAAATGTATGTTACGTATGTATGTATTGATATTTATATGTGAGCAAGTATATTTTTTGATTGCTGCACTCATATCTAAATTATAAGGCAACAATATGATTTCTGCTAACAAAAAAACAAAAACAAAAAAAAGGTTATTGTTTTTTTACTCATTTTATAGATTTTTTTAAATTAAAAAATATATTGAGGGGAATTTTTCTAAACTGGAACAGTTGTGTATGGCAGCCAATCAGCTTCTCTCTTTCATTTTCAAATCTTAACTGAACAAACTGAAGAGAGAAGCTGATTGGTTGCCCTGGGAAACTGCTCCAGATTGTGTCTGCTCCAGTTTTGATAAATTCCCCCCATTGTGTTCAGTCAGCTAAATGTTCACTAATATTTTGTATTTTTTGAAGGCAGAAGACGGAGCTCTTGGTGCTCTCTTTTCTTTTGTCTCCTTACAGCCTACAGGGAAAAAACACTGTTGTTTACAGACCTCAAAAACTCAAGCTAAAATCTATATACACACACACAGCGGCAACCTAGTAGATGGATTGCTCCTACGTTTCAAAAAGAGCCTATCAATCTAGAAGTTTGTAAACTTACTTATTGAAGTTGCCCATAGGATGTACTTCCCCAATGCACTGACACCATTTCACTCAGCCCTGTAAATATGCACTTCCTTGTGTCACAAGTCCCACAGAGTCTGCCTTCTGAACTACAATTCAATGCCTGAGCTTCCCACAATGTAACATCATTATTGCTTGCTGGGAGCAATGCACAATGGGATATGTAGTCCTGAGAAATGGAGATGGTATCACATCAAGCAGCAGTGAAAGAGATGCAAAGAACACGGGGAATCCAGGAAGTTGGTGAAAGTGATGGGCAGACGGAAGGCAGCACTCACTACATAAAAGGGATTTTTTCACGTAAACTTTGATTGTATTATGAAACACAACTCTAGAATGTATTCCTATTACACTGCTGATGTTACAATAGGAGAGGATATGCTGGGACTTTACAACTCCTTTAACCCCTTCGTGACGGGAGACGTACAGTGTACGTCTTGTCACTTTGTGCCTATATGACTGGCCACGTACACTGTACGTGACAAGGGGGCTTCCATCTAAGAGTACTAATTGTCTGACTGTCTCTGGCTTTAATACTTTTATTTTATCAGGAACGGAAGGAAAGGAAAGTATGCAGATAAGAAATTCAGCACAAAGTCAGAACTCCCAATTTATATATTTGGTGCAGGTCAGTGTATTCAGCATATTGAAGCCACTGGGACATGGCATGATAGCAAGGCAACTATCATATTCAGAAGGAGAGGTTAGCTATGACAGCCGCCACAGTCTCTCAGATTTCATTTTACTTTGCTTAGTTTGGCCATTCTCTTAGAGCAGGGCGAGCCAAACCACGGCCCTCCAGCTGTGGTGAAACTACAAATCCCATTAGGCATTGCAAGATTCTGACAGCCATAGGCATGACTCCCAGAGCAAGATGTATGATGGGATTTGTGGTTTCTCCAAAGCTGGAGGGCCGGAGTTGGACTACACCTGTGTTAGAGATTATTGAGACTGGAGCCAGCCAGGAAACTCGAACTTCTAGAATTAGGTCAGAAAGAGAAGCATGGTAATTTATCTTCATACAGGTTTCCATTTGATCACCACACTTACATATACTGTTTATCGTAGGGTAGTGGACAGGATTAATGGAGTACAGTTCCCCTATCTGCCAGTAGATGTCACTGTAGAGGTAATGGTTAAGTGGTTGTGACTATGGGAGTCACTACAGGAGCTAAAGGGTATCTCTGCCCTGTAAGAGCTCTATGGTACAGGGTTGAGGGTAAGTTGTCCATGATTTCTCTTATTTCTCGTAATGGGTACTGGAAAACCGACATGCTCCACTCTGTTTGTATGTAAGTCCAAAGAAAGGTGTACCGCACTCCAGATAACCTGCTTAATCTCTTTCTCTTTTCTTTATTTACCTGTACACAAAAGTGTACAGCATGTTGGGCTAGCTTAAGAGACAGCACAGCAAAGTCTTTTTTTCCACGTGTGTGTGTGTGTGTGCGCATAGATTTTTGCTTGAGTTATTGAGGTCTGTAAACAACAGGGTTTTTTTCAGGGAAGCAAGGGAGCATAGGTGCAGGACGTCTTGTAAAGGGGCTACTCACATGACTATGTAAGGATGCAGGACTCTGGGCAAAACTTCTCCGTGGCTGTGGACTACACCTTAACTATCCTCATCTCTCAACTATTGTTGGTCACTTTTGTGTGTTCATTATGGAATGTGCTGTCACCTGAATGTGGATGGCTGAAACATGTAATATATTGTGCAGATGAAGAAGTTTTAAGCAAAATATGGAAAAGGTTTCTCCTGAGAATGGGTTTGTGGGGGCTGGACTGCTGTGTAAATGCCTGTGGAGTGCATGTGTAAAACCACTGGCATGTACTGGTCAGGCCAGGCTGGATGTCTCTCAGAGGTGGGTTCTGCCAAGAAGGGTCAAGGTGCAGTGATTCCATCCCAGGGCTGTGAGTACCTTGAGTGTTATATTCCAGGGGATTCCGGGCACAATAGAGGCAACCAGGCAGCAAAGAGTTTACAAGCAAGTGAAGAACAGCCTGACGCCACACAGTCGGTGCACCTATAGAGCATGCAGTCCAGCACCCGCACGCACACACATATTACCTTACAATACTATAATTTAGGTTTAAAGTGGTACAAATTTTCTGAAGCATTAGACAGCCAGGTACAAATGTTAGTAAAGTGATACACGCTGAGAGACAATTATAAAGGCAATTTAGTGACAAAGTTAAACGCAAAGCACGCTGCTTCACATATAGCAAAGTATATGGGATAGCTTTTTTTGTGTGTATTTGACACCCTTGCACCTGGATTCCTGGCAGGTTTGCAGAGGTTGAGACAGATTTAGCATTGTACATGGGAAACATTTTTACTATAAACACAAACAATCTGTTCAATACATATAAATAAATATCTTTTGATCCTGCCAGAAGGCAAGTGAGCTTGTAACTTCCAGTGTAGTCTGTTGTATACAGTATAGTGATTGAGCTTTGACACCATAGGACAGGGGGAAAAGAGAAGGGAAGATGTCCTAAAAAAGAGAAGGGTAGGTTTGTTGTCCTAAACTGACAACACTGCCTCTCCATAGATACAGTACAGTGAGTGAGTGTTGTAACCCTAGAGCAGGAAGTGTGTTACTGGCAGAGTCATCAGGTATAAATAAAGGAAAAGAAGCCTCTACACCCCCCCCCCAAACAAAAAAAAACAAACACAACCCCCAACCACCACATCTAAGGATGGGTAAGCTGTAATAGAATACATTTTTGTTCTTGGGTTAAGATACACTTTAAGAAGTGGTCAGGGATAGTTGTTATATTGTTGCAATTATACGTTAAAGCAACAGTAAGGAGGGATTTATAAATCAAGCTGCAATCTTAGTAAATTTGTCTCACTGCTCCTGTTTAGCATGATCTTTCCGTGCAAAAACATTATTAAATCTCCCTCAATGTGTTTTAAAAAAAATAATAATAGTAATAGTGGATAACTGGCTCTCTCTGCCAACGTGCAGGATGATTTTATTATACTCTCTCATGTTTACAGGGGTTTCCTTCCACAATCCAAAAACACTTGTAGGTTAATGGCTCTAAAAATATATATAAATGAACTGTGCCAATAAGCAAGCTAACAGCTACAAGGCACTGGAATGTGCACCCACTGTGAGTTTGTATACGTGAACAAATGAATAACTGAATGTGCCGAGCTACAATAATAAGCAATACAAAAAAAAAAAAACTATAAAAGAATCTGTGACTCAAACAAATGTCAGTTAATAAATAGTAAATGGATCAGATGTGAAGTCTGTAAATGTTCATAACGATGAAGATATATATGTCCATATAAAAACAGCAATAGTGATGAATATTTCTTGTTCCTTCACCAAATGCACCACACCAGATATAGGGGTGCTCACCTTCCTGATAGACCCCAACAAAAGGTCAAGGCAATTAGGCAATCCCCTTCTTAACCAGGGGAGGGGGCCCTCAACTCCAATCGCTCACAGATGTCCTCCAATAATGTAATCAAACCAGCTGAAGGATCTGTATATCACTTCTGTAGTAGGAAAACAATAACCTCCAATCTTTATCGAACTGTAGGCCTCCCCAGTATAGGATGTCAATACCAGGATCGTGTTATCCAATAAGAGAAAAGCACCATAGCGCGTACCATCCAAACAGAGTAAGGTTTTTTTAAGATTATTCATTTTTTCAGGTTAATGGCTGTAATGGGCCTACTAGGCATGCACATGGTCGGAGCAGTAGACTGTACGCTCCTTTTATACAGTAGAAACAGTAAACTTTGAGCTCCGTTTAGAGTTCTAAAACAAGCAAAGCAAGGAGCACATTTGCAAAACGCACATCTGTGCTTTATAAATGTGGCAGAAGATCCTCTTTTCCAAAAAGTAGCAGTATGGTGCCATGCAAGGCCATCCTGCTCATTTATAAATCTGCCCCTAAGTGGAATTTACCCCCCATGACTTCAAGCAAAGTAGATCCGACGCATGGAAAAAACAAATAGAGGTTTACAACAAACTTGGAGGTATTTATCTGATCCCGATGTAGTCCATAGGTAATATTGACTATTGTCAACTGACTTCCAGTGTTAGCCTACTCTGATTGTTCAACGTTCTTTGGTAAGATCCTTGAGGGGTCCCAGGTTCTCCCCCTAGTGGCTTTTCTCCACCACTCTTTTCTCTTCCCACCTTTACCTATTTATTCCCTCCAGTTAACATGCTCGGCATCTCATCTCTCCTCTTTTTCTCCCTTTGAACACTCTCTTTTTGAAATCCAAGAACTTTTGTTAGCGTATATTAAAACGTTCAATATTATAATTGCACAATCTAGAAATGAGAATGTACTGAATATTAAAAAATGGCTCCTGTAAACTGACCTGTTGCCCTGGTGATGTGTGTCCAATTGTGCTTAGAGGTTGTCTTCTTGTTCCCGAAATATCTGTTAGAGGTAGTTTTTGGTTTTGCTTTGCAGCTTCCAGTTGAGGGCCCCTATTAAGGCATACAGCATTCAATATTACAATGTATATTACTTTTCACATCCAATATTTCTATTTTTCTATTTATTGGACTTGAATTTGACATATTATTATTATAATAATACAGGATTTATATAGCGCCAACAGTTTGCACAGCAATTTACAAACTGGGGGAGACAGTATAGTTACAATACAATTTCAGTACAATAGGGTAAGGAGGGCCCTGCTCATGAGAGCTTACAATCTAGTAGAAGGGGCAAGTGATACAAAAAGGTAATAATTGTTTAGATTGAGTTATTGGAAGAAGTAAAAGGGCATTTATGGGAGGTGGGATAGGCTTCCTTGAAGAAATGAATTTTTAAGTATTGCCTAAAGGCGAGCAGCGTAGGAGATAGCCGGACAACTTGGGGAATGAATTTCCAGAAGATGGGAGACACTTTGGTAAAGTCCTGGAGGCGAGCATGGGAGGAAGTAATTAGAGAGCAGGAGGTCTTGAGAGGAGCGGGGATGACGGTTTGGGTGATATTTTGAGATGAGGTTGGAGATGTAGCTGGGGGAAGAGTTGTAGATGGCTTTGAATGTTATTGTTAGTATTTTGAATTTTATTTGTTGGGCAAGTGGGAGCCAGTGGAGTGATTGGCAGAGAGGGGCGGCAGACACTGAATGGTTGGTAAGGTGGATGAGAGTTTGGCAACAGCATTCATGATAGACTGAAGGGGGGGGGGATATCCTGTTTAGTGGTAGGCCAACAAGGAGGGAGTTACAGTAGTTGAGGCGAGAGATTACAAGGGAGTGAATTAGAAGCTTTGTAGTTCCGTTTGTTTAAAAAGGGCACATTTTATAAATGTTACGGAGGTTGAGTCGGCAAGATTTAGATAGTGATTTGATGTACCCTGGCTTGACAGGAGGGGTTGATTGTAGTGCTGTTGAATGTGATGGAGAAGTAAGCGGAGTGAACACGGAGAGGAGGAAATATTATAAACTCAGTTTTGGACAGATTTGAGTTTGAGGAAGTGGTGTGACATCCATGCTGAGATGTCAATGAGTAGATTAATGATATTCTAAGAGACCGAGGGTGTGAGCTGAGGAGTGGAGAGATAGATTTGGGTGTCATTAGCATCAAGATGGTATTGGAAGCCATGGCAAGCTGTCAACTGACCCAGGGAAGAAGTGTAGAAGGAGAATAGAAGGGCCACAAGGACAGACCCACAGAAAGAGGAAGAGGAGAGGAGGAGGTAGAATTGTAGGTGACACTGAAGGTGTGCTGAGATAGGTAGGGGGTGAACCATGAGAAAGCAGTCTTGGAGGCCAAGGGATTGGAGTTTATTAAGGAGAAGCGGGGGGTCAACTGTGTCAAAGGCAGCAGAAAGGTCTAAAAGTATGAGTATAAAGTAGTGGCCGTTGGTTTTAGCAGTTAGTAGATCATTAGTAAGTTTTAGAAGAGCAGTCCTGGCCATAAAAGCCAGTTTATGTGGAGTGTTGTGGACGAAAGCCAGATTGAAACGGGTTTCCAGGGCTTCCATGACAAGTATCTGACTCAGAGTCTATTGCTTAATTTCAGTAATATTTTAGCATCTACCAGTCATATCACAAAATTACTAACAATTATTTAAATTGAAGATACCTATAGACATGAGATCACCGTTGGTTGGTTGGTCAGCTTGATACTGTTACTTGGGTGGGCTACAGGTCACATCAAGTTAAAGTGAATTTAAAGGCAATTTTTAAGTGTAATTGAAGAGAATAGGGAAGCTTAAGATTGCTGTCTCTGTCCCTGCTGGTGTGATTCACCCCTCTGTTTCACCTGATAACCTTTCTCACTGAGACAGAAAATGAAGGGAAATCTGTTAATTTTGAGTTTTCACCAGAGCAAGAGGTGAGGGACAATCCTACAATGGGGACACCTAATCCGGTGGCAGATCTCTAATATGGGAATTCCATTTGCTTTGGAGAGATTTCTTTTCATATTCGATTGCATCTTCAGGGCAGGAAGTAAAGTTTAATTTCCCAAGAATGACAAAGTTAACAAAAAAGAACATGATCGGATTTCAAACTTTCCCTACTCTATCTACAATAAATAAATAAAAGGTTTGGCCTTACATCATACACTAAAATACTTTGATTAAAAGAACCTTTAGTCATATGCCATCATGTTGAGAGAAGTAAACAGCTGTGTGGGGAATTTCTAGATTAGTAAAAGTGCACTCGTCCTTTAAAAGGAACTTGTCAGCCACTTTAAGAATTGCACATTATGTGCTCACCCAACCACTTACTTCCTTGAAGAACGTAAACCTGGTAGACATATTTCATGAGCCTGACCTACACCAAAACAATCTGTTTGAGAACACACCCAATGATTTATTCTTCATTAGGTCAGGATATTTGAAAAGATATTTTAAAAAATTGCTAATATTAAAACACTTTAATTTGTCCTCCTTTCTGTTTATTATCACAGCTGTCAAACAAATTATTGGAAAAGCCTGGAGATTTTCTTCTATTAATTTTGCTAAAGCTAAAACTAGTTTGGCATAGAGCAATAATTACGGAAAATTATCAGCATTCCTTACAGATTACTTAGTTAAGCTGTAAAAGAATTTTGATGCCCTGGATTAAATAACTTCCTTCTGAAATTATTTCTGCATTATTTCAATTGTGAAGCACTTTGATGGAGTCCAAGCTGAGATAAAATTAATTTGTGTTTTGGTGGACCCCCCACACCCCTTTTAAGATTCTGACTTGTACCTTCTTTTATTTTTACAATCTTCTTTGCATTTTTCTAGTTTTAGCAGACATTGCTTTTTCTATGTGCAGACCTTTACCCCCCAAACCCAAAAAGCCATGGTGCCTGCAGCACTGCCTGCCTTACCCAAATATGTTATAAAAGTGATTTTTAAAATACTACTTAAAAACTTTAAAACTTTTTTTCACAACTCCCTGGTTTCCCTGAAGCACTGGTGGAAAAGCCCTCAGGAAGGTCTCACAGGAAAGGTCACGTCACCATTTCCTCTAGGGAGATACCGCCAGATCTCGCACATGAACTGTACAAGATTTGGGGTGGCTTGATATTGAAGGAGATCTGTTAATTGTTCACAGATTAATTCTAAGGTGAACATTCACTTTAAAGTCGTGGTTCTCAACTGGTGGGTCGTGACCAAAAAGTGGGTCGTGACCCTATGTTCAATGGGTCGCTGCATGCCTTCCACTGCTCTAGGCGAGAGGCTCCTCAGCCTCCCCCATAGCGCAGCAATGTCAGTTCTCGTGCCCAGCAGCCACTTGAAAATATGCTGGCTGGCTGCAAGTATCAGTTTGAAGTAGGGTGGGCTGGGGATATGGCCGCGAGGGAGCTCCATCCATATGTGCATTGCTTACAGCTCCCTCGCATGACTGGAGTGACGTCAGATTTTGGCTCCCTGCACCTCTACAAAGGAGCTGTACAAGCAATGCATGTATAGATGGAACTCCGTCACAGCACAGCAGCCCACACTGAACCTCAAAAAAATTTGACTGTGTATGTGTGCGAGTGTGTGAGATTGTGAGTGTCTGTCAGTGTTTTAATCAATTAGACAATCAACCTTAGAGCGTCCTTTAAGACATTTCTAATGCCTCCCCCCAGTGGTGACTCACTATTCTTGTCTGTTATGCCCATGGCACGCTCCCCTACGGACAGAATAGGGGCTATAGATCCACCCCCAAGTTGCCCCCAATTGTTCAACCTGGCTAGTGTAGCTTTAGCTCTTACCGATTATTACACATGCCGAGGCTCCACTGCTTCGAGCGTGCGGCTCCCCCGCCCACTGTCACTAAGCTCCACCCAGCTGTCACATTTAAATCGGCGGTTTCCCGCCGCCACGATATGTTCCTTCTCGAGCTTAAAAAAGAGGTATCACTCCTCGAAACGCGTTGCTCACTGCCTTTCCACCCCGCCACTACCCTCTTCCTATCACAGACCCGACCGATAGCTGACAACTCTCAGCCCACGGCACCCGCACACTACCCCAGCCTGCGCCGACAGTGACCGAGCAGCACGAGCCGCAGCCGCAGTCACAGCAGCTCTGCCTGCTTCTGACACCGCTGATTCTTTCCCACACCACTCAGCCCCTGGACTCACACAGCGGGCCACGGACTGAGTCCCCATTCCTGTTGTTGCTCTTTTTCCCCCCCTTTTCTTCCTCGCCCACAGCCTCCTCTCCCCGTGTGGATGCACATCCCCTGGCTCACCAGTTCCAGGTAGATACCACGGATGACCCGATCCTTTGCACCGGCCGTCCATCCTCTGGTCCCGTGAAACGAAATGTAAGTGCTTATTCTTTTTCCTCAGCTATCCTTCGGTTTTTCGCCCAGTGCACCCATTGTCACACTATTCTCCTGTCATTTTCCCTGGGTCTCCCGACCCGGTCAGTTAGCCCACCTAGTGTTGCGCCATTTTGGGTTTTTTTGTTTCAAGTTTGCAGATACACAGGCACTCCTCCTGGGTTTCAGGGCTGCACACGATCTAGGGCCATACACTGTTCACCCCCTTATTATCATTACAAGAGCGCTGTTTGTACGTTTTGTGTTTCAGTGTTTTAATCGCAAACTACCATGCAATCGTACCTACTGTTTGTTCTGGTGCGGGAGGTGTGTTGTGTTGCCATTCATTTAAATGGCACCCCAAACACACCTCCTGCCCACAGTTTGATCACTTGCACCGGAACATGCGGTACTGCAATGCCGTGCGTTCCAGTGTGGTGTCACCTGGGTCGCGACTTAATGACCAAGAACCACTGCTTTAAAGTAAACCTGAAATTAAAAAAAGTGAAGATTTGCTATTATAGGGGACATCTAGAAATGATAATTGCAGCTAAGCAGTACCCTGAAAACTGTAACTTTTGCTTTGAATTCCTCTGAAATATAGCTGTGCGCTTCCTATGCCTAGGCACTCCTGTGCCTTAAGCCCCATAACTGTATATCTGCAGTGTGAGAATCTTAAGCATTGTATGACTCTGCCTGCTAGTCTGACAAGATATGACAATACTGTGCTGCTTGTTGGAGAGGAATCTGTACCTGAGGATCTGCACTGCATGCATCTCCAGCCTTTAATAAATCTATGTATATGTGCTTTCTGAACCTCTCCTGCTGCTTTTGAAATATCACCTCACCAGTCATCACGGGTGATACCTCTGAGATGAAGAAGCAAAGCCATCAGGATGACACAGGGACACTGTGTAACAAGGCAAGGTAATTAATGGGGAAAGTATCATCTGCAGTGAGCCTACATGTAGTTCTGGGGACTGGTCCCTTGTCCTCTACTTGCCTTTTTTTGGACACAGCTTCCACTGTTCAGGTCCTTTTTAAAAAAACAGGACACTCATATACTACATTCCCTGGAGGGAACCCTTTTCTAAAGCACACCCAAAAGCATAACATGGAACTATCTTCTGCTACGAGGGTTTTTGCTATAATTTGCAAGTATGCACAACATACTTGCACATTATGGCACACCTGTCAGTGTGCCCTTCTCTACTGGTGCCTCAACCAGTGTGTCACTGCTGGTTCTTCTGGGTCCCGCGATAATCCTTTTCAGTTATTGCATGGCTACTAATGATGTGCGTAAAAGTTACAATGCCCACAGCATCTGGCATTATTCGTAGCATGCTGAGAATGAGCTGGAATGCACTTATCCTTTTGTTCTCTTTAAGCTAATCTAACAGATTCCATGCTCTCCCTGCACAGATGCATGCTTACCGAGTTCTGAGGGGGCCGGCCTTTGCTGTTTGTTTGCATCCTGTGGCAAAAGTCTCCCTCTCCTGGTCTTGCCTGCTCAGTACATCCCATTGACTTCTAGGGGCTCATCTACCTCTGTCGGCCTGGAGATGGCCCCATAGAAGTCAAAGGTGATGTATTGTGCACCAGTAAGTTCACTTTTTTTACAGTTGCACCTTTAAAGAAAGATTGCATAGGGTGCGGGTAAGGTTTTTTGACAAAAGAGACTTTGCATGTATCTTTTGCCAAAAAACTTTTGCTCCTAGAACTTTACTTCGGCTTGAATAAAATTGTTTCTATCTCTTCTAAAGTACAAAGGCTTGAGGAAGTTTATCTACTAATAAAATACACATTTTGTCAAATGATGGTCATATTGCCAGCCTGACAAAGCATTTTACTGTATGTCTGTGATGACTTACCATTTCAATACACGTGGAGTATACTTGTCCTTGCTCTGGTCATGAAGTATTGTCATTGGGCTGCAGCTGATGTAAGCCAAGTAATCCTGGGTATGCTTCTGCCAAACCAAAAACATTCATATTACATTTTAAATAAGTATGTACAAATTATTTTCTCTTTAAGGGTTGAAGCAAAACGGTCACCCATTCCAAACATTTAAAAGCAAAAATCCTGCCTAGTAGAAGAGATTACAGGACATTACAGTAGGTAGTATCTGAAGATGTTTTTTTAAAAATAGAGTTTCATTAAGTTTCAACAATACAGAACAATACAGACAGGTAGGGAATGGCCAGGACAATAATACAGAGGTTAGCCATGTAGCAACTGTGAACATACTTCAGTCTTATGAAGCATCTAAATTAAAAGCAATAAATGAGGTTACCCACACTCTACTGTATAAGCATGGTAATACAATAGGTCCTTAAGCTCTTACAAGTAAAAGAGTAAGAAAGTGGAATAGAGCCGGGGGAAAAGGAAGAATGGATAGGAGAAAGAGACAGGGAAGGAGAAGAAGAAAGGAGAAAAGAGGGGAGGAAGAAAGAAGGGAAAAGGAATAAGTAGGATAAATTGGGGACGAGACATCGACTGGGAAAGTAGCAATTAGAGTCTACTACAAGGGCTAGCAGCCATGGCCACAAATGAGCCCAGGGCAAAAGGAAGAAGGTATAGGAGAAAAGAAGGGAAGAAGGGGAAAAGGTTAAGTAGTATAAATTGGGGTGATATATGCACCGGGAAAGTAGCGCTTAAGAGTCCACCACAACAGCTAGCAGCCATCACTGCTAATGTTTTGAAAACAGTAGAAACTCAGGAAGGCTATCCAAATATTCCATGTGAGGGTATATTGTTCAAATTTGTCATGCAGCTGAGCCTTCAGTTCCTCCATGTGTTGCAGTCAATAGATATCAGCAAACCATTCCTGTACTGAGGGTACGAGAGAAGTTTTTTTAACTCCTTAGGATCACAATTATGGCAGCCATAATTAAAAAGCATATGTGGCCTTTTTTAACCACAGATAGAACCAGGGAGTAAAGAGAGGAGAGCAATTTCAGGTGTTAATACTAGTTACTTGGGTAAAATGTGAAAGGTCCATGACTAGAAGGCAGGTATAGATGGGCACGTCCACTAAATGTGTAGCATTGTTCCCCGCACAAGATCGCACTACCAACAGTGGACCAAGGTTATATGGGAAAGCATTTTTGCAGAGCCGCAGGACATCTTTGCCACCGTGTAAGGATTTTTATAGTTTTTCTCCTGTGCTGAGGAAGCAATTTCAAGTTTATGCATCACAGTGAATAATTTAAGACACTCATCAAGGGTGGAACTACGCTGGAGATCCTTTTCCCAGCATGGATGAAGTAGGAAGTAGAGGAGAAATCCTGGTCTAAGAGAAAACCATGTAACTAAGTGATCAGGTAAGTCAGTGGTTGAGATCGGAGACAGACATTTTCAAAGGGCGTGTAGTCCCTGAAGATCGGACCCATAAGAACTACTTGATCGGCGAAACCTCCCAACTGGGAATATTGACTCATCTCTTCAGGGAAGCCTATTCCACCTCAACCTAACCACTGAACCATCACGTTCTCAAACAATTCATCCCCACACAGCAACCTCCTCATGTATCACTTCTCCCTCCCTTTTAGATTGTAAGCCCTCAGGGGCAGGGCCCTCCTTACCATCTTGTCTTGAATTGTATTGTGATTGTAATGTCTTCCTTATATTGTAAAGCGCTGCGCAAACTGTTGGCGCTATATAAATCCTGTATAATAATAATAATTGCAACCAACAACCCAGAGAAAGGGTAGATCCACAGTCAGTGCAGCAAAAAAAACAAACAAATTCTCCTCCCGATCTGCTCTTCCCAAAGGAGAAAGGGCCTCTCTGGACCAACAAAGGAAGGATGGTGCTTCAAGACTTGGAGGGAACATAGGGCTCCCCATCACCAGGGTCATTGGGCCTACATACGAGGAGATATGTGACTTTCTCAACAGCAAGTCTCACATTCTCAGAAAAGTAGATACGCATTGTGGCAAGGCCATCAAGGGAGGATGAGCCCTGGCTGTATCTACAGTAATGAAAGTAGGGGAAGCGGGGATAAAGAGTCCTCCAATACAACACACAATTTGTCCTTGAGATGAAATATCCAGTTCGCAAAGCTCACAGTAGGGGAGAACTATTCCCCCAGATAATTTATGTTTTAACAAAATGTCAAAGTGTAAGCGAGGTAGAGAGCAAGCCCATAGGTACCAAACCATAGCGAATAAAGTTTGGAGAGGAAAGATTTAGGAACCGAAATGGGCAGGGTCTGAATAATTCATAAGAAGTGTGGCAACACATTCATCTTCACCAAGGCAGCATGCCCATGCCAAGAGTGTTTGGCATAGGGACCATTCCAAGAACATACAAAGAGTTCTCTCTAAAGTAGTTGGATATAATTAAGGTAAACATAAAGTTTGGAAAGATCCTTAGTAAGATTGCCCCCCAGCTATTTAATTGAGCTTATTATGGGTATTAACCTTAAAATTGCTGAGATGCCCAAATGTCTGGAATTCCTGCAATAGGGATGGGAAACCTACCCAGGGGTTAGAAAAAAAATATGTTCCGCATATACCCTTTTAATGATGGTTCATACATATAGTCCTTGCCAGGTGTTCCATAGATAGTACATAAAGAAAAGGGGACAAAGGGCAACCCTGCCTTGTCCTATTATGGATAGAAACTGTATTTGACAATAGGACGTGAATACGGGCTGAAGGTCTATTGTAAAGTGTAATGAATTTCTCAAAAAAAGGGGAAGGGCCTTTGATTTTTGGAGAGTGTCAGAAAGGAAACTCCAGGCTACCCAATCAAATGCCTTTTCGGCATCCAGTGAAAGTAGACATATAGTGGTAAGTCATGTTGTATGGCATACTCCATCTGAAATGGTCCAAATTGTGTTATCTTGAGCTAAACAATAGGGGACAAAGCTTACCTGTTTTGGGTCAATCAACAATGGAAGGTAGGGCTGAGGTCTCAAATTAGTTTAGCAAAAATATTTAAGTCCGCATTGATCAGAGAAATTGGCCAATAACTAGAACACCGCAAGGGATCCTTACCATCCTTCTGAATTAGAGAAATATGGGCTTCTTGGTTTGGAGTGGGAATGTGACACCGCTCCGATATGTCATTAAAAGTTGTTTCAAGTACAGGTGACAATACATCCAATAATTGCTTATAGAAAATATTTGTGAAGCCATCAGAACCCTGGCTTTTACCTGTAGGTAGAGAGAAAACGATGTATATCTCCAAGAGGGTCCTTGAAGAAGTCTTCATTGTCAGAACGCATAAGATCAAGTCTACACGTTGTATGGTTTTAACTTTTCCTAGAAATGTTTATTGTATTGTACTAATATGGATTGCACAATAAAGATCAGCACTAAACTAGACAAAGCAGTTGTTTTCTCATTGCTACTTTGTTTGATGCCAAGTACACAGTGGATCTTCAGGAGTAAAGGGAGGTGGAAAAAACAGAGTCAGTTTACTAACATAGGGTGGATATGCAGCATTTGGCATTATGGCCACTAGATGAAACTAAGGAGCAAATCCTATGCTCCCTGACTCCACCTAGTGGCCATAATGCTGTGTGAATCTAAAACTAATATGTACGCACAGTGAACAGCTCTATGAACGTTTTATAAATACACCCCTAAGTGTAAGGTTTAGGTACTGCAGGTCCTTGCACTAAATAAAGATTGTCAAATCTAAAAAAGTTTGTACAGAGACTGAATAAAATGATAAAGTCTGTGGCCAATGTAATGCAAAGCCTGCCAAGATATACATTGCCCTCAGCTTCAGTGCTACTGTTAAAAGGAAGCTGTCATCCTTTTATTTATTTTCTTTCTTGCATGTGAAAGAGATCCACGTAATATAAAGGAAGCACTGTGTGCTGCGATATCTTTTTATTCATTGCCAGCAAGATATTCTCTTTTACTCAAAACAATAATGTGTTTTGGTAATGCTGATGAGCCCTGGAAGATTAATACAGGGGTAGGCAAACCGTGGCACTCCAGCTGTGGTGAAAGTACATATTCCATCATGCCTCTGCCACTGGGAGACATGCCTGTGGCTGTCAGTCTTGCAATGCCTGATGGGACTTGTAGGGCCACAACACTTAAAAGAGAATTATGGGTTAACCTTTTTATCCCATAGTTCTCTTTAGGGTCACGGGAGGACATATACTAACGTCCTCCCGTGACCCAAAGCTCAGTATATAGCGAGCTATTGCCCGCTATATACTGAGACCGCCGCAGCTGGGATGGATCCCGACAATACTGTCGAGATCAACCCAGCTGGCTCTGCCTATCTAGAGACAGAGCCAGCTGTGCCCGCCGCCTCCCCTGTCTGTTCCTCCAGTCAGTGCAGGAGGATCAGAGCGGGGAGGGGGGGAATCCCAGCGGGGAGCGGTGACTGACAGTCAACTCCCTCTGCAGAGAGATGATTGGGAAGTGAGCGAGCGAGGCTATGTGTCGGCTCTAACTATGAGGATGAGTGGAAATAACTCACCTCATAGTTCTCCTTTAACTAATGTGTAATTGAATGGAGATTACAAGTTTAACATTGTATACACCAGATTCTTTTTTGGTCAATCAATTTACACATTAGAAATTCTGGGCCAGACTGAGCTGTTGTAGAAACCATACTTTGTCAAGGTAAGCCTAATCGCATAACAAAAACATAATTCCACTCCCAGAGCAACCAAAAAATGACACAAGCAGGCATAACTACCATCCCTTCCCTGTGAAAAAGGTCAGTTTATTTAACCCTTTTTCTCTAATGATTCTCGTAGACATTGGATGAAGGTCATTTGTAAAAATAAAAATAAAAAAATAGAACAATGAGGACATCTTTCTACTTGTATCATAAATACACATGCACATCATACAGTCCATACACAAGAAATGCATTTTATCTCTTTACTGAAAGTGAAGTACAAAGAATTAGGCAGTAGAGAGGTAAGGCCCCTTTAACATGGGTGGTCCGATAGGGTCCGCGTGTCAGTTTTTCAGGCGGACCCAATCGGATGCCCAATGTAAGTCTATGGCCAGCTGGGTCTAAATGGACAGGCATTACCCCCTACTCTGGCCAGGTCCAGAGTTCTGTTCTGCTAGACCTGATCACGCTGGATTGGGGGTAATCTGATGTAAACGGACACACGTGGGTTTACATCCAACTCCCCATAGACTGACATTGGGTTTAGTTCTTTCCTCCATCACAAGATGGAGGAAAAAACTGCAAGGACATGGATGCCAAATCAGTGACATCTGTTTCGCACTGCTCTGATCAGCATGGATCCTATCCTGATCAGCCCATGTGAAAGGGACCTAAAGGGAATGCTAAGGTAGAGGAGTAGGAACAGCTACTGGGAGCAGATATACTGTATGTCCTGCCCACTGAACAGCAACTGACTGCACAAGGAAAGATGGTTGATGCTCAGGGTTTGCACGAAAATTTTGCTAGGAACAATGGCTACTTTTATAATGTACCTGCCTTTAGTTTGTCTTTTGGTACACAGGTACTCTTTAAAAGTGAACTTAACTTGGTCTAAGATCTTTGTAAGGTGACAACAGTGCTGAAGTGTGGTGTTTGCTTCAAATGTGTTGTGTAGGGCTTCAAGTACATAATTGTTGCACTGTGGAGTCCCCTAGACTCAGGCTGTACATGGGGTGTG